TACACACACACACACACACACACACACACACACACAGAGGAGGAGAGGAGAGGAGAGGAGAGGAGAGGAGAGGAGAGGAGAAACACAGCTGGGAGAGTTGAGAGGCAGAGGCAGGAAGATTTCTGTGAATTCAAAGCCAGCTTAGTCACCATAGCAAGTTCCAGATCAACAAAGGCTACAGTGTGACAATCTCCCCTCCCCCTACACCCCCTTAAAAACAACACAACAACAAAAAAGCACCTACTACTGTTGAAGAGGACTTGAATTTGTTTTTTGGTTTTAGTTTTTTTCCTTTTAATTGGAGAAAAAAAATTAGGGGCTAGTGTCAACTTTTTGTTGACCTATCCAAATCTGTCTGTGAGACCTGGAATTTGAGGTCCTTAAAGAATGGGTAAACAACAGTCTAATGCTGTAGACAATTTTTCTTTGGTTTCAGTGTACTTTAATATACTAATGAAATAAAGCAATGATCCAAGGAAGGTTATTTGGGTTCAGAAAAACATGTAAATAAACACCAGTAAGCACATACTATTAACAGAGCAGCCCTTTCCCAGAACTTTCTCAGGACAGAGAAAGCACAGTTTAAGCACAGTTGCCTGACACGTAGGATAGATTATATGGAAAAGCATGAAAGCGAGGCAGGCAGCCATATCCAGATTCAGGGTACACTGAGAATAGTACTCAGCATGTCCTCTCAGCAGATTAGGGTCTATAGCTATATTCTGATATCCAGCGAGAATAAACATGCCTTAAAATTTAATGCCAGTATTTGTCACAGGAGGCACAAGATCACATCTTAGAACAATCCAGGGAACAAAATGCACCTGAGGTGAAAGGGCCTCTGCCTTTTTTTCCTGGTCTCTCACACAGTTCCCCAAGGCATTGTTCATCATGCTTCATTCTTTTGACTGCGATGAAGACCCGGGTTCAATTCCCAGTACCCACATGGCAGCTCACAACTGTCTATAACTCCAACTCCAGGGGAAATGATGCCCTCACACAAATATACATGCAGGCAGAACAATAATGCACATAAAATATAAACATATCATTTAAAAGATAATTTTAAAAAGAGAAATAATTCATACAATAAATATATTCTGAGCCTGGCGGTGGTGGTGCACACCTTTAATCCCAGCACTTGAGAGGCAGAGGCAGGCGGATCTCTGTGAGTTCAAGGCCAGCCTGGTCTATAAGAGCTAGTTCCAGGATAAGCTTTAAAGCTACAGAGAAACCCTGCCTTGAAAAAACAAAACAAAACAAACAAACAAACAAAAAAATATTCTGATCACAACTTTCTGTCCCCCAGCTCCTCCCAGATCTCCTCCTACCTTTCTTTCTTTCTTTGGTTTCTCTGTGTAGCCCTGAAAATCACCATGTAGACCAGGTAGTTTCAGACTGAGAGATCCACCTGCCTCTGCCTCCTGAGTGATGGGCTGCAGCACTACCACCTGGCCTCTTCCTCCCTCTTTTTAGAAACATAACAGGCCAAGCAGTGTCTCAAAACACTCCCCCCCCCCCGCCCCGCCACACACACACACAGAGAAAGAGAGAACAGGCAAACAAAAAGAAACATCAGTAAACACACACACACACAAACCAAACAAACATAAAAACACAAAATCAGAAACCATAATATAGGGGCTGGAGGGATGGCTCAGCGGTTAGGAGCATTGCCTGCTCTTCCAAAGGTCCTGAGTTCAATTCCCAGCAACCACATGGTGCCTCACAACCATCTATAAGGTCTGGTGCCCTCTTCTGGCCTGCAGACATACATGTAGACAGAATATTGTATACATAATAAATAAATAAATATTTAAAAAGAAAAAAAAACCATAATATAAAAACAAAAGACCAGAAAGATAAAGAATACCTGAACAGAGCAATGAGAGAAAAAGTCTATAAAAATTCTATGAAAATATCACTGGGTTCCTTTTGTGTTTACCATCTATTGCTGGGCATAGGGCCTGCCAGTTAATATACCCACTGGGATTCAATTTGAGATGACTAAGTTTCCTTTACAAGTTGATTGGAGATAGTTTCTTGGTTAGGGATGGGAAGCTCAAGTTGATTAGAGCTAGTTTCTTAGGGGTGAGGGGAGCTCATGTCCACTTCCCTCTCACCACTGGGACCCCGGTCGGCCTTGAGTCTGTGCATACTGCCAGTCTGCTTTCTTATGTGCACCAGATACAGCCTGAATTTTATTTTCAACACCCACATCAGACAGCTCACAATTCCATAATTCCAGTGTTGGGGAACGGGGATCAGACCCCTCTGGCCTCAGTGGGTGCCTGCATTCATGTGCACAGACAACACAATAAAAATAGTAAAAATATGAGAGCTTCAGGCCAGTCTAGAGTATGTGAAATCTTGTGGTGGTGGCACACACCTTTAATCCCAGCAGGAGACAGATGCATCAGATTTGTGAGTTCGAGGCCAGCCTGACTACAGAATGAGTGTGAGTTCCAGGAAAGTCAGGATTGTTAGACAAAGAAATCTTGTCTCACCCCTACAGCAAAGATTGATATCCTTTCTCAAAAACAAAACAAACAAACAAAAAAATGAATGCACGTTCTTTACAGACCTGAGGTTTTCACAACTCAGCGGTAGAGTACTTATCTAGAATGTATGAAGCCAGGTTAAGAAAAAAAAAGTTCTCTACATCTTTTAAAGAAAGAACAATGGGCCAGGCATTGGTGGCACATGCCTTAAATTCCAGCACTGTGGATGCAAGGGCAGGCAGATTTCTGTTTTCAGTTCAGGGTCGGCCTGGTCTACAGGGCAAGTCCAAGACAGCCAGGGCTACATAGTAAAACCTCATCTTCAAAAAGGGCAGTAGAAAATACCAAGTTCTTCCCAAATGTTAAGTTCTGTGCATTTCTCGTCTGTTAACTTTGTATTTTCTATCACAGGGCTAGACAGACTGCTGTGTATTGTCACTGGAGCCCCAAGCATCAGAGATGTCATAGCCTTCCCCAAATCCTACCGAGGATATGACCTCATGAGCAATGCCCCAGATTCTGTGCCTCCTGAAGAACTGAAGCCCTACCACATCCAGGTCACATGGCCAGCAGACTCAGAAGAGAAGAATGCAGCAGCCACACCTTCCAAAAACTTGAGCTCTTAAGTTTTGTCTTAGTTCCGAAGTGGAAGCAGTCATCATTGCTTCGTAAGAAACAGAAGCTACCCAATTATTTAGTAACATTAGGACTTTCTGTGGTATTGACTTTTGTGCAAGTTTTAACTGAAGAATTGTAAAAACAAAACCTACTGGAATTTTTGTTTTTGTTCCTTTGAGAGTTTGTATAGCTTTGAAATCTGTCCTGGGACTTGCTCTGTAGTTTAGGCTGTCCTCAAACTCACGCCTGCCTCACAAATTCTATATGCCGCCACCACCCCGGCAAGTCATGTTTTCTAGTGTGCTTCACATAACCCAAGATAGGTTATTTAGGCCAGTCATACAGAGTATTTACCTCTGTAGACTACCAAATGTGAGGAGAGGTCTTAAGTTCATCTAGCTTAACTGGAGCCATATAAATTGAGCTTGGTGACCTTTTAGACACCAGTATAATGAGTAGACACAATAGAATACTTAGCCTTTGTCACTTTTATGTTAATGACACTTGTCCTGGCTATCTTACAGAATCCATGTTGCCAGAATCAGTTGAGTAGAAATGACTTGAAATACTGTAAAGCAGGGCCGGAAACGCACAAGGCCACACCTTTACCCTTATCTTTAAGTGATACTCCCTGCTAAGCATTCAAATGAGCTTATTAGGGACTTTTTCAAACCAGAACAGCTCAGTGGTAAAGCACTTGTATAGAACACAACTTTTTGTTCAGTCACCAGCATCATCCCGTTATACAGTGCTCAGGATGTTGAGATAGAAGAATGACAACCAGTCTTTTTGTTTCCATAAATTAAAAATACTGGGATACAGCACTTCCCTATAGAAAAGGTCACACTGTGTTCTGTAAGAAACCTAAGGACCACCAAGCCCTTAAGGTCTGGAGATCGCTTAGGTTTAACACTTCCAGCACCCACAGTGGCTCACTATCTCCCGCCATCTGGGGCCCTCTTCTGGCATGCAGGCATGTATGCCGACAAAGCACTGCATACAAAAAATTTTAGCACTTGTGAGACCAGCCTGATCTGCACAACTCCATTTCCAGAGACCACAGGCAAACAAGATGGCAACCTGGATAAGGGTACTTGCCTTGGAGACTTGGATTTTGTCCACTTAAAATGCATGGTGAAAGAGACTGGACCTAATTTTGGAGCTGACCTGGGATGTTGCTAATCAGTAAGGAATGTAGTTCAGCTCTCCATGAGGCCAGTGTGATGGGGCACATCATTAATCCTAGCAAAGCTCACTGGTCAGCCCCCACCGCCATCTCTGGTGGATAGGACTTCTTTGCTTTATGGAGTCCCATTTCCTGGAGGGACTCCATCACAATCCTGACCACTCAAGCCAGGGCAACAAAGCCATTCCTTTCTTATTCCCAGCTCAACAGCAGACCATCTCATGGGCACAATTCCAGTGGACCTGTCTACCCCTCCTCCCAATTCCTTCCCATTTCATTTTCCAACTCCTAAGAACCCATAGGCCAGGAGGGTAAAATGCAGATTCTCACTTCTGCATTCTGAAATCCTCTAGTTTCAGACTCCCAGCTGTGCAGACCAAATGCTTCCAATAACTGGTGATAGTTTACCTGCAGTCCTCACACCTATTCAATAGGCCTCTTTTCTAGATGTCTACCTTTTCATTGCTATCAACTCAAGCAGGCACCACTACCTGCCAACATGAAACCAAAGACCTAATCAAGGTCCATAGTTTAGGAAACTTTTTAACTGAAATTATGACAGGACATACTTTCTGTGCTTGCTTTAAAAGCTCATCCTGAAAAAGGCTTAGGAACACAAGTATAGACAGACATAAGCCCATGTCTGAGCAGTCTTCTCTACTTGTTCCTGTGTTAGAAAAAAAACACACTATGTATTTAATTCCAATTCCATTTATTAACTTTTTGAATTTAACTTATGGGAAAACAACCTGATGTATAATCTTCTGAGTCTCCATCCAGTCACCTGCAACAGAGATACCTGTTAGGCACATCTCCACATTTTCATTTAAATGGTTAATTGTTAAGACAGAATATCAGATCCTTACAGTCATCAAGTGATCAGTAAGAGAGTTCAAGTTATGGTGAGATCATCACATATTCTGTAGTAGATTCATGGTTAACATCTTCATTTCTCACCTTTTAAATAGTGAGGTGAAACTGCTAATCTGTCCATTTCTGCCATGAGAGTCCTACCCAAAAAAAAAAAACAGAACACATTATTCCTCCGGCTTAGACTACCTGTAGATTACACATTACTACAGTAACCTCAGAAATAAAATGGAACGGTTTTAAAGGTGATATCACTTTTTCTCATTTGGCAGAATCATCGCATCACTGGTTACAGGCAATTATAATCTATAAAAATCCAAGGTTACTTACCTGAAAATTCAGAATGAAGGATCTGTTTGGAGATAAGAAAAAAATTTTAGCCCAGAAATGAGCCAGCCATTCAGTCCATTTTACTATTCTTTGAGGTAGGTAATGAGTTTGAAGTGTCTAGATTAGCTCTCAGATAATTTCCTTGCCACCATTTTATGGTTGAGATTTTAACACCATACTTAGAAAACTACACTGGCAATTAAAAAGCCTTAACAGCTTTTATGGACTGGGATTGAGGCCAAAGCCAAGGTTCCATGTACTGTCCCTTCAGTCTTACACAATCACAAAACTTCTATTGTGAACTAATACTGCAAATTTCACAAAAAAAATTACAGCCAGATACATCAGATAGGAGCGAAAGACATAGGATTGTTCATCAGGTTATGTCTGCTGAACTATGTTATCATCACAGTATCGGCCTTCATTTAGAGTAGCTGATTCTAAAAAAATCGCTATCATGTACATTTCATGAGCCAAGGACACTTACCTTCATGTAAGAGCTTTCTGGTGCCTTCAGTCAAGGGAAAGCCATAGAAGACACCTGTAGAAATTCAACTGTTTATAAAAAGACATCCACAATGCACACTTAACAAATTCCTCAGTACTGTTTCAGCTTAAGAATCAGTCTTCAATCTTGTTCAGAGAGATTCCCATCTGTTTAACTTTATACATCACTAACAGTGGTGTTGTATTTCTAAATAGACTACAAAAAATATTCCTTACCTTCATTTAAAAGGTCAATTTAAGGGCTGCTTCTCCAATGCACTCTTCTGGTAAGGTGGCAAAGCATTCATACCTAAGAAAATACATTCTTTTAACAGACCAAATTGGAGATTACAAAAATTAAGGCAACATATAGTATTGGTTAAGAAACACATGTATGCTCAAAAATTTACTGTCTAAATATTGTACACAACCCTCATTAGCACAAGAGTCAAGAAACTAGCTTCTTACCCAAGCAAGCCATCCAAATGAAAGCATGCAACCAGTAGCTAGAATTAAAAGGAAAAACTTCTTACAGATATGTTAAGCACTGTTTAATTATCCTTAATTGTTTGTGCCAGGGTTCTTCAGTGTTAAGATGTGTTTTCTACAGGTTTTTTTCAGGTCAGACATTTGATCAACATCATTACAGAAACCCTGATTAGAGCACAGCAAACACCCATGAAAGTAAACGTTGGATGTCTGATCTATAATCTTTGCATGCCTCCTTAAATCAGTCTAGTCACTGTTTCCCAACACTTACTTTAAAACTTGGTCCAATTCTGTCTCCTATGAAGAAAAAAAAATTTTAGTATGGTCAAAGTCAGAATTTGTCGTGTGAAATGCTAACTAAGCCCATTATCAGATAGAGCTAATTAAGACCTTCATGTTAGTCAGCATTTGCTTGTCATCATGCAGGCTGAGTTAACAAAGGAGACACTTAGCACATAGCAAGCAACATTTAAAATATGCGAACATACCAAGCCATGTTTGCCCATTCATCTGCCGTCTCCAACTTCTCCCATTTCATCTTGTTCTTCCACCCTATCACCTAAACAGGCAAAAAAATCTAGGTCAGCATAATCAGAGAACTGACACAAAGTGGCGAATCTGATTTATCCTGCTACCTACGAACACAATAGGATTTCTGTTTAACAGCTCTGCTCATACTGAAACTCATTTTGTAAGCTAGGCTGGCCTCAACTCATGAGGATCTTGCTTCTTCCTTCCAGGTGCTGATTAGTTACTATGTAACTTTGTAAAGCCCAGAGCCCCCCAAATGGAGCTTTCCACCCACCTTTCTGACGTTGCATAAATAACTAGCTATGTTGAGCTAACTCGAACCTCTTCAGACAGCTTTAGGCAACAGCAAGGACCTACTTGGCTTCATGTAGCTCTACAAGTACTTCATAAAATTGTCTCTGCATAGGTTCTTAGCTTGGGGGGTGGGGGAAACTTCCCAGTTTCTGCTCAGATGGTGGTAACACAGGCTTTTAATTCCAGCACTCAGGAGGTGTAGGCAGGCAGATCTGAGTTCAAGGCCATCCTGGTCTATAGAACTAGTTTCAGGACTGTCTGTCCGCCCACAAAGGACAGCTAGGGAGCACTAAGGATCGTCTTCACAGCACCTCTAATAAGGTGAAAGCCAGCCTGTTGGTGGCAGCACAAAGCTCAAGTCTTTCGGAAGCATTAACAGTAGCTAATGACAATGTGAAACTGAACAATTAAAAATGAGGACTGAACTTGCTGAGGTCTACAACTTTAACCCTAGCACTAATATAAAAGCAGATCTGTGAATTAGGGGGTAGTTCCAGGTCAGTCCCACCTACACAGTAAGCTCCCTTTACTTGCCAACCTTTCCTTTGTGCTAACAGATGTCTTTCAAGGGCACATAGAAAAAAAGATTTTCTTACTGTGCACACCCATGGTTAATCCAGCTTCTTTCATAGTTCCTATAAGGAAAATGGCCTAATGTAAAATCTTTGAAGATTGTTAGAAACCCCTTTGTTATTACCCCGTATGCCTCAGTTACAAATTTCGGTGGTTTAAGGCTATCGTCATCCAACTGTCAAGAGTAGCAAATATGATGTCATCATTGTGGCACTGTTCCCTGAAAGGATTCTCACAGGCACAATTCAGTACTCACCTCACTCTTCATCCAACTTTGCCAAAGAACTGGAAAAAAAGATGATAACAGTAAGAACCCCTCTTTCCAGCGTTTTCCCTTTCCTTTCTCTGAATTAAAGCCTCAGAACAGTGTTTTTCAGAAATCCCTTCTGTCCACTACTCTCATACCATCATGGGCTTTTGGGGTTGATAGTGTTTTAAGATATCCACCCTCTTTTTTCTTACCTGTCTGTATGATGCCAACGGTCCCAGAGAGGTCCACGGCAGCATATCTAAAGAAGACATGCTAATTTAGACGGCTTTTAATTACAACAATTTTACACAAAAGGATAAAACTCACGTACTATTCTAAGTGGTACTTTGGAATCCATCTTTCAGTATCTCCTCAAATTTCTACCGCATGCCTTGCCTAAGACTGCACTAGGGGCTTTGTTAGAAGTCTCTCAAAATCCCACTTTGAACAGCTTCTTCGCTAAAGCCTTTAACCTTGTGGTGATCCTTAATATCAGGTAGCATTTCAGTGCGTTCATTAACCGCACAACAGAAAAAATGGTCACTACAAAAGGCCTCGCAATATGACTCAGCATGGTCCGCCATCAGAGTTGTTGGTATTCATCAACAAGGTCAGTTGTCCCTACCAACATAGCCTTCATCACAGCGAGAACACATATGCCAAGTTTTCTTGAACTTCCCGTAAAACAGCACAAGAATAAAAATGCTATGAATAAGTACCATTTTAGTTCGCGCATGCACGCAAAGCCAAGTTCCCCTCAGCTTCAGCTTTAGGGCCTTACAAGGGCATTACTGTCCGCGAAATCCCGTCGAAATTTGCGGTGGCTCCAACCGCAAGACATTCAAGGCCTGTACCGACACCACCCATGCAGACCATAAACCTCACCTTACGCAAGTTAGCTCCGAGCTCCGAAAGACCGATATGGCGCCTGAGTCCAGTATTTAAGCTCTCCGTGACGTCACGACGCAGGCCGTCCGCAGCGTGCGTCCACAGAAGTCCCGCCCAGACCCTCAGACTCCTCCTCAAGCCCCACCTCCTTCCCGCCCTCAAGTCCTCCCGCCGGCCCCGCCCTACAAGGCCTGAGGGCGGAGTCCCCGCGATCACGTCAGACCCGTCCCTGCCTCCCTGAGGAGTCAGGGTTGAGGGGAGGGGGCTCCCGTCAGGAAAGCGCTGGGGGAGGGGCGGCGTGAGGGTGACTGATTTCCTTCCGGCACGCCGCCCGCTCCGGACGAGGGGGGGGAGTTGGGGGATTTCACTTCCGGGACGGTGTTCCGGCCCATTCCGGCCCATTTCCACCCCCGGAGGTAGGTGCTGCTCCTTGCCTGGGCTCGGGCCCCGCACCCCCGCCCCGTTAGCCTGCACCGGACGCTCCTCGCCCGCGTCTCGGCTGCAGCCCGCTCCCGGGGCATTCGACCGCCCGGCCCCACCTCCCCGCCAGCACTCGGCGACCTTTTTCCCCCACTCCCAGGCTCGCGGCTGCTGAACTCGCGGGCCCGCCCCCTCGCCAGCCCCTCCCTCAGGACCCCGCGGCGACACACCCAGACACACCCCCACCGCTGCGGCCCGGCACCGGGTCCCGGGGCGCCGCCCCCTTCCCCCTCCAGCGCCTCACCTGAGCGCCTGCTCCTCCGCTCGCTCCTGCTCTCTTTTCCCGGGTTCTGTGCCATCTTCCCGCTTAGCCAGGTCCCGCTTTCCCCGTGCTCCCTGACACACACGGAAGCCGCTCCCGTACCTGACTGGCCAACCCCAAGCCTTCCCGATTCTCCCTTTTACAGCTCTCGCCCCTCCAGGGCCGACGCTAGAGAAAGACTTTACTCCAGGGGCTTCTTCCTCACTGGGGAATTGCTGGAAAGAGCAAACAAAAAGGCGCTGGTGTAGGCTCCAAAATAAACATCTGAATTCGTGATGGCATCGACAGAGGCTCTTAATGGATTAAAAGTTTCAAAACAAACAATAACGCTTTGGAAAAAGGTCAGATTGGCTAAAGTTGCTTCTTGAAAGCGGTGTTTGCACTTCCCTGTTTACTCAATAAGTGTGTTGTCAATGCGGGGTGATAATGTGAGTCTGTTAGGATCACTTCCTGGTGTGTTGTGTAGTCTCCTAAATTTAGAGGTAGATTGGATGCACAGGGAGCCAAAATCATTGTGATATCCCCGAGCTACGCTCAACTGAGACCGTTTGATGCAGTTGCAGTATGTCAGTGTAAAATTTTAGGCTTTATTCTCGTCACCTGTGGAAAACCAACTTCCTGAATTAAAGTATTATTAACACTTTGGAATTTCCAACCTCAAGTTTGTTGGATAAAGAATTACCTAGTTTTTGCCTAGCCTGGCATGGGGGTGGCACACTTTTTTAATCTCAGCAGAGACTGTCAGATCTCTGATTTAGAGAGCAGCCTGATCTATCTACATAGTGAGTTTCCAGGAATAGCCCGTCTCAAATAAATGCCAGTCTTAATCCCAGCACTCGGGAGGCAGAGGCACGTAGGTCTCTTGAGTTCCATATGCAGAGCAGGTTCCAGGACAGCCAGGGCTAGCTACATAGAGAAACCCTGTCTTAAAAAAAAAAAGTGATAATACTGACCATTCACCTAGAAAATTAGTCCCTTAAACAGCCTGTGCCACATGTAAATTACAATCAACCTGCATATAATTACATTTATTTTAAAATTTATTTACTCTAGAAAAAGATAATTATTAATAAAGTCTGGTTGTAGTTTATGTTTTCGGCAGTCTAGCAATCACTTTTTGTTGTTGTTTTGATTGTGTTTTACTGTGAAGTCTAAAACACCTCTTGCCAGGCTTAGCAGCTCACACTAATCCTGGGATAAGGAGAGTCACCACAAGTTTGAGGGCTGCCTTAGAATGAGACCTTGTTTCTAACAAAACAAAACACCTGCTGGCAATTCTATTACTGCATCCAAGCATCATGAGGAAGGTACCTCTTCATACATGAAGGTACCAGTTTTTCTTCTGAGACAAGTTTTTATTTATGTAGCCAAGACTCAAGAGTCTCCTGCCTCAGTGCACCAGTGTTAAAATTATATATGTGTACGTGGCACTTCTGGCCAGGAGATTTTACATTTTTAGGGATGTTTAAACTAGAAAGCGCAAAGGGAATAAAGATGGTGCTAAGAATATGGTTTGCTCTCTCAGCAGGGTTGAATGTCTGCCTGTACTTCCAGGCATGACCATGGAGAAAAGTGGGAACATACAATTGGAGATCCCCGACTTCAGCAACTCAGTTCTGAGCCATCTCAACCAGCTGCGAATGCAAGGCCGTCTCTGTGATATCGTGGTCAACGTGCAAGGACAAGCTTTTCGGGCTCACAAAGTAGTTCTGGCTGCCAGCTCTCCTTATTTCCGGGATCACATGTCCTTGAATGAAATGAGTACTGTGTCCATTTCTGTCATCAAGAACCCTACTGTTTTTGAACAGCTCCTTTCTTTCTGTTACACAGGACGGATATGCCTGCAACTAGCAGATATTATCAGCTACCTAACAGCTGCTAGTTTTCTGCAGATGCAGCATATTATAGACAAATGTACACAGATCCTAGAGGGCATTCATTTCAAAATTAATGTGACTGAGGTTGAAGCAGAATTAAGTCAAACAAGGACAAAGCACCCAGAAAGACCTCCAGAGTCTCACAGGGTTACACCACCTCTAAACCGCTCACTTAGCCCACGACATAATGCTACAAAGGGAAACTGGAGAGGACAGGTCAGTGCTGTGCTGGATATCAGAGAGCTCAGTCCCCCTGAGGAGTCCACCAGTCCTCAGATAATTGAGCAGAGTTCTGATGTAGAGAGCCGGGAGCCCATTCTTCGAATCAACAGAGCAGGACAGTGGTATGTGGAAACAGGAATAGCAGACCAAGGGGTGCGGAGTGGTGATGAAGTTAGGGTTCTTGGAGCAGTGCACATCAAAACTGAAAATCTGGAAGAGTGGCTTGGGCCCGAGAATCAGCCTTCTGGAGAAGATGGAAGTAGTGCAGAAGAAGTCACAGCCATGGTGATTGACACCACAGGCCATGGTTCTATAGGACAGGAAAGTTACACTTTAGGGTCTTCAGGAACCAAGGTAGCTCGGCCAACCAGCAGTGAAGTTGACAGGTAAGTTTTGCTTTCCTATTTAAAATTGTGTAAACATAATTAAATGAGCCTTCTGGGTTACAGAGAGCGTTTTTTCTTACCTGATGTTCCTATTCAACTTACTTTGGGAGACTGGAAATATGTCAGAAGACTTGCTTTATTTTCTCAAAGCAGGAAGCTCCTGATTCTGAAGTATTCATGATGGATTTACTGTGGTAAAATCAGCTACTACCATGAATCAGATAGCATCTGCAGCCACTCTAGGATCAGTTATTGCCAGGGCTCTCTGGATTCTAGGCAAGGAGCCGATTGTCAGAAGGTGCCTAGTAACATTGTCCTTTCTCTCTATAGAGCACCACACAGGTAGGTAACCTTGGGGAGCTTTACTTTCCTTATTAGCACTGTGTGTTATTTCCATTTGCCTTTACCTACCAAATTAGAGAAAGTCTGGTGCTATCAGTGATTGTTCTTTTTCAGATTAGAGTAATATAGTGCAGTAAAAACTTTTTAAATTTTTTCAAGTGTCATCTCACCTAGTGATGTTTCCCTTGGAACCGCTACTACCCTGGGCCTGAATGTCCTCACCAGTGCTGCCATGGCCTATGGTCGTCACTGTTTTCTTCCTAATGTACCAAATCTTAGAACATTTCCTTTTGATGGAACCAGCACTTTCATCTAGTCAATTGAAAGAAAAATGATACTAGTTTAGATTGGTAACTTTTTATGTTCTTTTTTTTTTTTCACTTTTTTATTGAGAAAAGATTTCTGTAGCTCAAGTTTTTCTGAAATTCAGGGCAGTCCTCCTACCTCCGCCTCCTCAGTTCTGGGATTACTGGCATGAGCTACCTACCATGTTTGGATTTTGTTGTTGTTGTTGGTTGTGTTGTGTTTTTGAGATAGGTTTTTTTCTTGTGTGTGTAACCGTGACTGTCCTCAAGCTCTGCCTGCCTCTGCCTCCTGAGTTTTGGAATTAAAGGTGTGTACCACCACCAGCTTTGAGACAGTCTCACTCTATAGCTCAAGATGATCTATAGCTTACTATGTAGCCTAGGCTAGCCTCAAACTCATACATTCTTCCTACCTTATGCATCCAGGCCTAGATTACAGGCTAATTTATTCTTAAAATAGATTGAAATGGGTAAAGGCACTTAGAACCTGACCATCTGAGTTCAGTCCCTGGAACCCACGTGGTAGAGGAAAAGAACAGACTCTAATAAGTTATAGTCTGACCTCTACACATGTGCTGGCACATATATGCTTCATAAATAAACAAACAAATAAGTTTGAAATTGATCTTGGGAGCAATTAAAACCAACTAACTCATTTCTTTGGTTTATAACTAATGTAGACATTTAGTAGGAGATTTTAGCCACATAGATTTTGACTTGAGTATTTCCCATTATGTGACCTTTATAGTCTAAATATTCTTGAACACAGAATATATATTCATCCCTGGTGTTAGAAATTGTTGTCCTATATTAGAACTATATCAGAAGTAGTACCTTCTTAAATAGGAAAAAAAGCTTTAGTCTATATGAACTAAGAAATTGTGTCAGGCATAATGGAACATGCCTGGAATCCTAGCACTTGGGGTGTTGAGCCAGAAGGATTGCTATAAATTCAGGACAACTTCGGAGCCTCTATAGTGAGTACGAGACCACTAAAGGCTTCATAGCAGAATCATAGCTCATAGAAGCAAAACAAAACTACGGACTGGGTTTCATAAATGTTTTTATTCCCTTTATAGTGCTTACTAGGATAGAAAGCTTGTATTTAGTCTTATCTTCACCTTCTCGTATGGTCTTTGAAAATATTTCTGTTTGATTTAGTTCCATTCCTCAGCTATAAGATAGAGGAGAAACAGCATTCAAGTTCTTTGGCACTACTTGTCTATTGGTCCCTTTTATGCTCCTTTTCCAACAGATTTAGTCCCTCCGGCAGTGTTGTTTCCATGACAGAAAGATACAGAGCAAGAAGTGAGTCTCCTGGGAGAGTGGATGAGCCTAAGCAACTTAGCTCCCAGGTATGTAGTTTTGGACTTAGGGTTGCTGTGTTGGTGGAAGAACTTGTCACTGAATAAACAGAACATAATGAATAAGAAAGGTGTAGGACAAACAACAGTGGCCCTGTTAAATACTGGATTTGATATATATTAGTTTTTTTCTTAATCTTACTTGTGATCATGCTAGAGTTAGGATTTGAGATGTAGAAAAAAAAATTGGGGGGTGGAATAATGGCTCAGCAATTAAAGGTACTTACCGCTCTTGCTGAAAATCCTAGTTTGGTTCTCAGTACACAACCATCTCTAACTCCAGTTCCAGTGCCTTCTTTTTCTGACCTCTGCAGACACCAGGCACATTTATGTTCTCTGTGTGTATGTGTGTGTGTGTGTGTGTGTGTGTGTGTGTGTGTGTGTGTGTGTAGGTGTAGGCAAAGCACTCCTACACAAAAATAAGTCTTTTTTTTTTTTTGAAATGTGGAATTTTTTCTTGATTGTAGATATACCTATAAGCCTGAAAGTAAAATTAATTTCTTAGCCTTATACCTTTGGGTCATTTAGAACTTAGATTAAAAATAATTTGATTTAGGCTATGTAGGGAATATATATGGGTATATAGTTGTTAGTCTATATAATATTTATTTTGTACATATAAGTAAATTGCTTGTGCATTTCTATGTATTTATTCTTTTGTATGAATGTATCTTTTTATGTATTTGCATCCTGAATCTTCTATCATACTACAGAGTTCTAAAGGCTAGATGTGGTGGTGTACAACTCTAATCCCAGCACTTGGGAAATAGAGGAAGCAGAATTGCTGCAAATTTGAAGTCAGCCTAAGCTGCTTAATAAGTTCCAGGCCAGTCAGTGCTGTAGAGTAAAACCCCATCCTTAAAAACAAAGACTCATGAAAATGATGTTTTCTGTAATCTTCCCAACTCTCCTTAGCTATTGAAGTGATTGGTTGACATTTTTGTTTGTCTTTTACAGACCTTTAATTACGGAGAATTGATTTTTTTTTCAAAGCTGTAACAACATAGAACACAATAAATTAGATACTATAGTCCATAAAAAGGAAAACAAGTAGGTTAAGATTGCCTAACTTCAGACAGATCTCTGTGAGTTCAAGGCCAGCCTGGGCTACAAAGTGAGTTCCAGGACAGGCTCTAAAGCTACACAAAGAAACCTTGACTTGGGGGAAAAAAAAAAAAAGATTGCCTAACTCTTAGGAGGCAGAGGAAGGTCAACCTCTATGAGTTCGAGGGCAGCCTAGTCTATAGAGCGAGTCCCAGGACAGGCTTCAAAACTTCACAGAGAAACCCGGTCTCGAAAAACTTTTAAAAAAAAAAAAAAATGCGACATGACAGCACTGGGGAGCAGAGGCAGGTGGTTGGATCTCTGTCATTTAGAAGCCAACCTGGTCTACATAGCAAATTCCAAACCAACCAGGACTAGATAGTAAGACCCTATCTTAAAAAAAAAAAAAAAAAAAAGAATAGCTTATTTAAACTCTATTACAATTTCTTGTTATCTAAGCCACTGGATATATTTTTTTGTGTATATTGGTATAGTACTGGCAGTAAGATATTGTTACACACTAAATTTTTTAGTTTTGGGGTTTTTTTGTTGTTGTTATTAGTGGTGGTAGTGATGTTTTGAGGCATGGTCTCCATAACCCAGGCTGACCTCAAACATGGTCCTCCTGCCTTTGCCTCTCTGGACTTGTATTTCAGATGTATGCCAATATACTGCATTATTTTTTAGTTTTGGTTGAGTGGTAGAGAAAATGTTAAGAGCTAAGTGGAAAAGTAATAAGAAAGCTTTTTCTCCCCATCTCTCAAATCTTGTATAATAGCATGCAAAGGTAACTAGTTATGCAAATAGTTGCAGTGATTAGGGCAGATATTAACATCCTTATAGACTAATCATACAAATGTCCTGAAAGAATACAAGTACTTACAGGCATTTACAAGACTTAGTATCCACATAATGCAAGTACAGTTAAACAGATGTGTATTCATGTGTGAAGGTACTTGTGCAGAGAGTGATGCACACATATATATATGTAGAGGTTAGAAGTAAACCTCAGACGTTGCACCTTTTACCTTGATTTTTCTTGAAAGGGTCTCTAACTGGCCTCAGATTCAAAGGCTCTGCTAGGCTGACTATCCAGGGATCCCTGTTTGTCTCTTCATTCCTGGGGCTGGAATTAAAAACTCGTGCCGCCACACCCAGCTTTTTTACATGGGTTCTGAGAATTGAATTTAGTCCTAATGTTTGCATGACGTGTAAATACTTTACTGACTGAACCATCTCCCCAGCTGTAGATTTTTTTTCTTCTAACTAAGCAGATTTTAAATGCAGTTTCCATCTTCCCTTTTCTTCCTCTTTCTTAAGAAAAAGATTTATTTTTAATTATCTGTATCTGTGTAGTTTTGTACACATGAGTACAAGTGCTTATAGAAGCCAGAAGAGGGCCTTGGTGCCTGCAGTGGTTTGAATGAGAATGGCCCCCAGTAGGCGCATATAATCGACTACTTAGTTCCCGGTTGTGGAAGGATTAGGAGGTGTTGCCTTGGAGGAGAGGTGTTACTGAGGGTAGGCTTTGAGGTTTCAAAAGTCCATACCTAGCCATCTGGCTCTCTGCCTCCTATGTAAGGGTTGGATCAGATGTGAATTCTCAGCCACTACTACACCCTATTATAATCCCAACTATGATCATGGACTACCCCTCTGAAATTGTAAGCAAGCTCTTAATTAAATGCTTTATTGTATATGCTGCCTTGGCAATAGTGTTTCATCACAGCAGAAGTAACCCTAAGACACCTCCAGGAGTTCAAGAGGTTGTGGATGCTGGGAATAGAACTCAGGTTCTCTAGAAGAACAGCAAATGATTTTAAGTACTGAGCCATATGTCTAGCTCCATCCTTCCCTATTTTGAAATAGGAAACTATGTTGCCCAGGCTGTTCTTAAACTCTGGGTTAAAAATCTGCCTGCCTTAGTTTCTCCAAGTAACTGGGGCTACTGTTATACACTACTCTGTCAGGATTTAAATGTTTTTGAGTTTTGCCTCAGCCTCCCAAATACTGGAATTAACAAAAATACAACACCATCATGGCCTAAATGTAGTTTTTGTAGCACAAATCTAATTGGTCCTAATAATAAAACCTGAAGTTAGATATTAGGGGATGGAAGCTGAAAGATCCAGCCACTAGTTCTTAACTGCAAAATTCTCAGATCGAAATGGGTATCCTGTCTCAGACTGAATTCTGAGCTCTTGTCTCCTCCTGCTTTATATTCCTCTCTCCGCCTAGCCATATCACTTCCTGTTTCTACCTTCTTAGTGCTAGGATTAAAGGTGTGAGCCACCACTGCTTGGCTCTGTTTGACTTTTAGACTGATTCAATCTTATATAGCCCAGGGTGGCCTGAACTCACAGAGATCTGTATATGTCTGTCTCCGAGCACTGGGATTAAAGATATGTGCCACCATTGCCTGGCCTCTATGGCTAACTAGTGTGACTAGCTCCGTACTCTGATCTTCAGACAAGCTATATTTGTTAAAACACAAACAAAATTTCACCATAGTTTTCAGTTGTAATTAGGATAGAAATAATATTGGATTACATAGGGGTGTTTAACTGGCTAAAGCAAAAGAGATAGTCTAAAAAGAAATAGAATGTAAATAGTACTACATAATGCTAGTGCAATGGCTCCTCAGGTAAGGCCAAGCCTGACAACCTGACCACATGGTAAAAGGACAAAACTGGGTGCTGTAAGCTGTCCTCTAACCTCCATACACATCACATATATTCTCTCTCTCTCTCTCTCTCTCTCCCTCTCCCTCCCTCTGTCCCTCCCTCTCCCTCCCCCTTCTCACTATAAATAGATTTAATCTTAAGATTTTTTAAAAAATTTTTTATAACTGGGGGACAGTGCCCATGGAGTCTGTCTGATACTGTAGATGTTGAGAACTGAACACAGGTTTTCTGGAAGAACAGCAAATACTGTTAACCACCAAGCCATCTCTCCCTAATAAATGTAATTTTAAAAAAGTACTATCTAGAAATGATTCAAAGGATAAAATACATCTACACAATTTAATATATAAGAAGATTTATTATGGTAAATCCACTTACCAGTTATTTCCCTATGCCACAGAAGACCAAAGCGGAGCAAAGATTTATATTTACTTGTGTGTGGCGGGTGTGGATGTGCACATGTGCATGCCACAAAGCATGTGGATATCAGCACAGCTTGCAGGAGTTGGTTCTCTTCCATCATGTGGGCCACTGGGAATCAGCTTAGGTTGTCAAACAGGAAGGCCCTTGACCTGCTAAGATAACTCACTGACCAACTTACATTATTATAAACAAAAAAAGAAAAAGAAAAGAAAACTGATGTATTGAAAATCCTGGAGCAACTGGGCAATGGTGACACACATGTTTAATCCCAGCAGTGGGAAGGTAGAGACAGGCAGATCTCTGTGAGTTCCAGACAACCTAGTCTACAGAGTGAGTTCCAGGACAGCCAGAGCTTACAGAGAAACCCTGTCTCAAAATCAATCAATCAGTCAATCATTCAAAACAAGAAAATATTGGAGCAACCAGGCAGTGGTGGTGTACACCTTTAATCCCAGCAGGCAGGCTGATTTCTCTGAGTTCGAGGCCAGCCTGGTCTACAGAGTAAGTTCCAAAACAGCCAGGGCTACACAAAGAAACCATGTCTCAGGAAAAAAAAAATACTGGAGCTGTAGCTCAGTGGTAGAACAGAACACCTGTCTTAAAGACATGAAACCTAGGCTCAATGCCCAACATGTAAAATAAGAAGAAAACAAAAGTTTTACCTAACATGTATTAGGTTCTGGATTTGATCTTAAAAAAAAAAACTAGGACCAGCAAGATGGGTAAAAGCCCCTGCTGCCAATCCTGATGACCTGAATTCCATCCCCATCACCCATATGACAGAAGGAGAAAATAGACTCCCCCAAGTTGTCTTCTGACTTCTGTGCACATAGTTCATGAACAGACATACAAAGAAATAAATGCAATAAAAAATTTCTAACTCATTAATAGACTAGACTCTGACTATAAAGAGTGAATCTGGAACAGATACCAAAGTTACTTCTTAAAAACATTTTCTTTTTCTTTTTTTCTACCGCTGGAAAGTTACCACTACCACTTGGCTAATTATACATGTAAGTTACAGTCTTTCCAGCTCAGCTGTCCCACTAATCAGCATTTGCTGTCTATTTTGACATGTAGACTTGTCAGTGCATACTATAACTACATCAGATTCTCTCTGTCTTTAGTCTGAGATTCCTCATTCTTCTGAATCCACTGAAAGCCCCACTCCAAAGTTCTAAATAGTCCAATGTTTTTTGATCCCTTTTTTCTTAAACAGTTTAACAAACTGTGTGTTATTTTTCCTTTTTTTTTTTGATGGGAGGCAAGCACTCTACACCAAAGAAAATCCCTAGCCTCTTACCTTTTCCTGATACTCTACTAATTCATATAAATTATTTCTTTCCTGTTTGATTTTGTGCTAGTTATCACTGTTATTGAACTAAAGTACTCGAGTGTATTAGTTCATTCAGTGTTCAACACAGCCTCTGCAGGAAATGATTAAGAAAACTAAGGATAATAAATGAAACTTAAATTTGAACCCAAGGCACTCTTAACTGTTATGTGATATAATGCTTTCAGATTTTTCCAAAGTACCTGAGTTTGACAATATAATACCATTCACACAGGAGACTAAGCAGGAAGATATTTTGAGCTAGGAATGTTTGAGGCTGTCCCGGACAATACATTGAGATTCTGTTGCTAAAATAAGGTTTTGTTTTGTTTTTCTGTTTTTTTTGTTTTTGTTTTTTTTTTTTTTTTTTTGAGATCAAGTCTTACACATAGTTCTGACTGATCTTGAATTTCTGGTAATCTGCCTGTGTCTACCTCAGTGCTGGAATTACAGACTACAAGTATGAGCCATCATGTCCTTTTAAGATTCTTAAAAATATATCTCAAGGTACTATTAGCAATTTTTAATCTCAGCCCTACAAAGTTGGAACACCATGTGATAACCTTTTCATGAATGGAAAAACTGAACCCCAGAGAAATTCCTGTGTTTTGTCGTTGGTCACTTAGGATTATTAGTAAGATTCTTCCTTATTTCTCTGAGTTCTGTTTTGATGACCCAGGGAAATGAATAGAAATTCTTTGTGAAACAACTCAAAAGCTAGATGCTATAGATCATAGTCTTTTCTCCTCATGGGGGAAGTTGAGGCAGGAAGATTGCCAAAAGTTTAAGACCAGCCTGGGCTACATAGTGAGATCCTTCTGAAAAAAAAACCATCAGCCTTGATTTTATGTACTGATTTCTAGATCTGCTGAGGAAATGCTGAAAAGCCCTGTCAGGCTAGCATGTGAGAAAGAGACAAAAGATTGTTTTTAGGAACTAAAGCTTATGTAATTGTTAACTAGTTGAATCTTTCTCTACTTAATACAATATTTTCTTTGCATTAATACTTTGGCTGCTGTTCAAAATTGTAATTATTTCCTGCATGATTTTGTTTAAGAAAATTGACTGTAATGACTTTAGTAGTCAACAGCCCCCCCCAGAAAAATTAGTAATATCTGAATAGTGATATTTAACATGGAATTTTGAGCTAAAGGTGTTTATCACTCTAAAACATAGTTTAAGATTTATTTTTATTGGTTTATTTACTTATTTATTAGGCAGAGTTGACTATGTAGTCCTGGCTGACCTCAAACTCAAAGAGTGCTACCAGTCTCTGCCTTTGAAGTTTTGGGATTAAGACATGCACCACCATGCCCTGCTTTATTATTTTTTTAAATTATGCTTATTTCTGTGGTTAGGGGCTATGTGCAGATGCCTGCAGAAGCCAGAAGCCCCTGGATCTGGAGCTGCAGGCAGTTGTAAGCCACCAGACATGGGTCCTAGGAACCAAACTCTGATTCTCTGCAAGAGTTATGCACACTCTTAACAACTAAGCCATTTTTCCAGACACCAATCTAAAATTTCATAAGTTACTTGTTTAAAAGAATATATTCTTGGCCAGGCGATGGTGGTGCACATCTTTAATCCCAGCCTTTGGGAGACAGAAAAAAGTGGATTTCGTGAGTTCAAGGCCAGCCTGGTCTACAGAGCAAGTTCCAGGTCAGGCTTCACAGCTAGGTAAAGAAACCCTATCTCAAAAAGCAAAACAAATAAACAAAGAATATGTTCTTACCCTTCCAGCTTTCAGATGGGAAAACCCAATGTCTTCAGCCAATTTAGTCTGAAATCACTTAAAGCTTTTTAGTTTTTAGGAGGCCAGAGAGATAACTCAGTGGTTAAGAGCACTGACTGCTCTTCCAGAGGACCCAGATTCAATTCCTAGCATCCACAAGTCACAACTGTTTGTGACTCCAGTTCTAGGGGACCTGACACCCACTTCTGGTCTCCAAGATCATCGTTCACACATGGTGCATAGACATACATGCAGGCAAAACACCAATACATAAAATAAATTTTAAAAAATGATTTTTAGTTTATAGCATGATAATGATGTGCTGATGTATTACATTATTGCCTACAAATTGTATATATTTTTTATAAAGGTAGATAACTGCTGGTTAACATAGTAATGATAGTGTCCTAAAGGAAATTTGATTGTATTTGCCTTTATATACTCCATTTTTTCATGTATAGTAGACATAAGCACATTTGAATTTTTGTTTAAATTAGTTAAAAGCAATTGAAATTTTTCCTCAATTGCATTAGATATGACAAATGCTAATAGCCATGTGGTTACTACATTGAATAGTTCAAATTATAGAGCATTTCCATCACAGAAAGTTCTATATACTCTGTGGTTGATTGTCTAGAATACAGTTGTAAGGATAGACTCAAAGGATGGTATTGTGGGCTCATATTTTTCTATTACTGTAAAATAGTACTAAAGAAGAAGTTTTCAGTTTGACTTTTGGTTTTAGTTTTTGAGACATGTCTCATGTAGTTCAGGCTGGTCTTCAACTCCCTATGTAGCCAAAAAATAATCTTGAATTCCTAATTCTAAAGTTTCTACCTCTCAAGTGTAGCAGAGGCTTAATAAGCATCCAATTCATCAGCCAGAACTTTGTGTTGCTCGTTTTTTTATTGTTTTTTTTTTCCTTAAAATTTATTTATTTTCACTTTGTTTGCATTGATGTTTTGCCTGCATTGGTGTATGTCTGTGTGAGGGTGTCAGATCTTGGAGTTACAGCAGCTGTTAGCAGCTATTTGAGTGTTATTGGGTGCTGGGAATTGAACCCTGGTCCTCTGGAAGAGCAGTCAGTGCTCCCAACTTCTGAGCCATCTCTCCAGCCCCTCTGTTCTTTTTATAGCAATAAAATAATACTCTCAGAATTCTTAAATTATTATGTTAATATGTTTACTTTTTTGGTAATGAGTTTCCCTCTTGGCTCTCCATTATAAATAAGTGTGTATGGGCTAGAAATGTAATGAGCATTTGCCTAGCTTGCAAATTCTAGTCCTTACACCACACAGATACACAAACGTATACATCTTAGTAACAGGAATAGGTAGATTGGGTTGCTTTTAACATATATGCTTAATGTTATATAATGTTCACTCAGTTTCTTCTGTCACAGGTAGAAGAGTCAGCAATGATGGGAGTAAGCGGCTATGTGGAGTATCTCCGAGAACAGGAGGTATCTGAGCGGTGGTTCCGGTATAATCCCCGCCTCACCTGCATCTACTGTGCCAAATCTTTCAACCAAAAGGGAAGTCTGGACCGCCACATGCGCCTGCATATGGGAATAACACCCTTTGTCTGCCGCATGTGTGGAAAAAAGTATACCCGGAAAGATCAGCTGGAATATCACATCCGAAAGCACACAGGCAACAAGCCCTTTCACTGTCATGTTTGTGGCAAAAGTTTCCCCTTCCAGGCCATCTTGAATCAACACTTTCGAAAAAACCACCCTGGCTGTATACCCCTGGAAGGGCCTCATAGCATTTCTCCTGAAACGACTGTCACATCCCGGCAAGCTGAGGAAGGGTCACCTTCTCAAGAAGAAATGATTGCTCCTGGGGAATCTGCCCAGGGCTCAGTGTCTACTACTGGGCCAGATTGAAACATTGAGGGGGAAGGGGCCGACCCTCTTCTCCTCTGGGCGGTAAGCAGCCTATTTCAAGATCGTGGGCTGGTACTTAGATTCACAAAATGCCACATCGCTTGACTAGAAGATGTTCCCATGGTGTTGCCAAATTAGAGGATCAACATGCAGAAAGCATGAAAGGCTCTTCTCTTTCCCACCTCACTCACACTTTGGAAAATAATCAAGCAAATCAGCTTCTAATTCAGGGATCAACAGCCTTGGTTTGTTAACTTTATAAGAAAAAAAGTTTTTAACAAAACTGATCAGTGAATGGTCATTTATCTACCAGTCATGATTGAACACTGTACTTAGGTTCATATCATCTTGATGGGTGAAATCCTAGATCTAAAAAACAAACAAACAATCAAAAAAAAAACCAACAACAGGAGCTTTGGCCAACGGAAGCAGCCTATCAGAAGTGGGAAAGGTAGTTACACCGGTGAGAAAGAGGAATCTTCCTTCCTCTTCCCTGCCAGAGCATGCATTTCCGTATTTTAAGAAAAAAAGTGTATACTGGTGGTTCTTGTTATTCTAAAAGGTTAGACTGTCTTTGCCCTGGGGAGGCATCTAATACTTTGTCTTGTTTTGGCTACCTTCCTTCCAGCAAGCATCATCACCTGAAGCATGTTAGGTAGGTAGAAGTAAAGTGAGAAGCCAAGCGTTTTCAGTGGGCACTTACACATCTGGGAGCTTGAGAAGGAGGAGTAGGGAAGAAAGTGTTCTTACTTATGTTTGCAAGTACTGTACATCGCAGAGCAGAACTGCAACTTTCTGATTGGTGTTTGTAAACCATAACACTTGCATGCCTCCTTGGGTGTTATAAAAATGTTTCTAGTTAGGAGTTATCCTGTTAGGCTGACTACCAAAATTCCATCCTCTTCAGCTCCTAGTTTCCTATAACAGCAATATTGTACATCAGAAATGTCACTTTTCAGTCAAATGTGCCTGGATTGTATTTTTAAATCCACAGGTCTCCACATTTGATAACTTTTATATGAAGTTTTTAAACATTTTTTTCCGCAATATTGTAGTTGAAGAGAGATTCAACACTGTTGTTCTTATTGCAACCACAGTTTCATTCCCTTCTACGTGTTTTGTACTTTATATTTTCAGTCCAATGAAGAACCTCACTTAAGTCTATGTCTTGGTTTTGCAAGTCAATATATAATTCATAAACCAATTAGCAAATTGCTGGTAACTCTTAAGAGTTCTTTGTTTTTGTTTTTTTTTAAATAATACACTACAGGGCACTTCACTTACAAGACAATATCTTGCACAATCATGTTGCAATAAATGATCAAGGGATCAATTTTTAGCAGGTGTGGTTACAAAATCATTCCTAAGATTTTTAAAACTTCAAGGGACTATTTTAATGATTTTGAGTTTTTCTGAGATTCTTAACCCAGCTCTGAAAGAATTTACCAAACACATAGAACTTTATATGCCCTGTCTTGCATGCAGAGAGAGGAGTAGGAATGTTAGACAGTACAGGCAAAAAGATGCCAGAAGTCTACAGTGCAAGTAGAAGTCTCTAGTTTCTCCTGAGTGGTTTTTAAAGAATATTTAAAGGTGTAATGGCTTAAGTAATTGTTTTGGTACAAGGATATGGATGATTCTAAGAAATTTGGGAGAGGGGTTGGTCCTGCCTGCACTAGTGAGCCATTTATGACAATGTGAAGTTTGTGCTCCTTGTGAGCACCTTGGGTATGGAAAAGTGGAGAAAATGCATTTTTGATGATAAACTGGAATGCAAAGGGTAGCTTTAAGCAATCTGATAATTGTATATACTGTATCACTAGAGAAAGGTTTTCTCTTGTGGAAAAAGAAAAGAAATTCATCTTAAAAGGAGTATTATGATGCTCCAATAGAAGAGCCTGCCCTTAAAAACAGCAGGGACGAGTTGTGTCTTATCATTGATAATCATAGGCAGGCTTCTTGCTACTTAGTTGGGCAACAGCATGGTAGAGTAAAAACTGTCTCGTAGAGTTACCTTAGGGATTGCTATGCTCTATGGCATAAAAACATAGAGTTGAAGTTCTCGGGAAACATTTTAGCTTATATTCAAGGCTTTCAGTAGACAGACGTTGTCATTACTGAACAGGCAGGTACCTGGGAAGTACAGAAAATGCTGCTTTAGATGATTTTTTTTAAAACCAGCCAAAAATATTTTACATCTACCCTACTTTTGAAAAGTTAAGCAGTATGCTAAAAAGTTGTTTTTTGCATTGTTAACTGTTTAGACTATATATGAGAAAATAGAGCTTTTAACTATTACCAAATTATAAAGGTTCATGTGCAGTAATTTTGTAAAGAGAAATTCCATCAAGTTCAGCCACTAATATCTTGAATGGGTAGAGACTGTTGAGATGTCAGGCATGTTTGGCAGGTTCCCTTCTGTTTTCATTCTTTTCTAATAGGTTCTTAGTTATATTGATACTGTGAATAGAGTGCTTCCGGTCCTAAGACCACATCAGCACAATCTTCTTTGCTAGTCTCTCCTCTAATTGGTCTAGCCAGAGTCATGAAATTCATGAGACTTGTAGCCAGGCTACCTTCGAAACAAATTAAAGTTTTCAAAAATAATCATCTGTTTTATTTAGAAGTGGTACCTAATTCAAATATCCAGGATTTCTATCCAGATTCACTGTGACATTGTCCTACTTTTCTGCTAGCATCACTGTTGGGTCATAAGTAGAATGCTATATATATTAATGAATATTGGTATGCACAAGGAGTATGCTCATTAAGGGTATATTAAATGGGCTTTAGCTGATGCTGAAACTTACTACCAAATCTTGACTTGCACACGTCACCTTGTGAGGGGAACTGCATTAGCAGTGAGAGCTAAGTCAGTAGATAATGCCATGGAATTGCAGTATCAGGACTATTATCATTGAGGGGCACTTAGCAGAGAAGCTATCTAGTATTGCCATCGAAAGCAGAGAGTTGGTCACATGTGTATCTATTTTTACTCTAAATACACTTTGTATTCTCTCTAAATTCTGATACTGATATAAACTGTGGCGTTCACATGGCAGTAACACTGTATTTACTCAGAAAGGCTCTTCCTAATGAATTCTTCTCTTTTTTCTTCACTTTTTACACAGAACCATAATTACCTCTAAACTGAGTTGAATTTTATTTTATATAAATTCCAAGCAACTTCATAGTTTGGGGGGAATCTTGGTTTGTTTTTAGTATTTGAGACAGGGTCTTTGCTATGTAGCCCCTTTGCTATGTAGCCACTGTATAGCTCAGCGGGGCCTTGAACTCATAGGAATCCTTCTGTCTCAGCTTCGTAAATACTGGGATTACAGGCATGTGCCACCACGCCTGGCCCCCATTCCATTTTTTTTTTATTTTTTACTAAAGAATTAAATCTAATCTGGACTACATAAAACTGAGTTAGTTGTAAAAAACAAAAAAAGAAAGAAAGCAGTTAAAAGTTTTCTTGTATTTTTGCCTTTTTTCCCTGTTTCCAGTTCCCTTGACGTCAGTGAAACAAAGATGGTATGAGAGTAAACGGAGACTGTCCCTGCCTCTTCATAGTGGGAATCCAGCTTTAGTTGGGACTGTCTGGTGGATGAGTAATGTCAGAACTTCATTTGTAATAACTGAGTAGTCCTTTGTCCATGAAATAGCTTTGTACAGTCTTATTCTTAATGCATACTAGTTGTTTCTTTTAATTGGCGCAATTATTTCTTGTTTTAACAAGAAGGTCTAATTTAAAGAAATAGAAGCAGTGGAAAATAGAAAAGGAAGGACTTTTTTCTTCTTGTTCCTTTTGGTTTTCAAGACAGAGTTTCTCTGTGTAGTTTTTGCTGTCTTGAAACTTGCTCTGTAAACCAGGTTAGCCTCACACTCAGAGATCTCCTGCCTCTGCTGGGACTAAAGACATTTACTATCATTGCCTGGCAAGGAAAGACTTCTTAATGTAGTAGAAAACTTCTTAATGAGAAAGAGTTGATATCCTATAGGTAAGCAGGCATAATTTACTTTTCTCTTCCAAATATGTTCTTTTCCTTTTCAAATATGAAGAAATTTATACCCTAACACCTATTTATTTAGCTCTTGTTTATGGTTTCTTCGTACTATGATGGTGAAGTTGAGTATTCGATCAACAAAGCCTGAAAATACTGTGTCTGAAAGGTGTCAAAGGTTTGCCATTTTCAGCTTACTTTTGGAAGGTTGACTCTAAATTATTACTCCTAATATTTCACCATTAGCATAGTGTGATTGAGGCTTTAAATTCATAATCACATCTGTATTGGATACTTGAGAAGAGTGTGTCATCTTTTCCTAGGTCCCCTTAAACCCTCTTGGTTTTTCTTCTGCTTGATTCCCATTCCAGAAAGGAAAAGTAGAATGGGTTATAAGCCAAAAAAGAAGTAGGATTATGATTTGCCCTTGCCCGAAAGGTATAAGCAAATTAAGTTTAGCATAGTAGTTGTTTATAACAAAATATCTCTTATAAGAAAAATTCCCACTTATAACAGTGTGGAGTTAAATGGGTACCCTATTCAAAAAGTTCATGCCTTTGTAAGTTTTGCCATTTCTGATCTTGCTTAAACTGATTTGCATAATAATGGCATAAATGAATTTAACCTCCTAGGATTAAAGAGTAATTTCTGTTATGGATAGTTATTACTGGTTGTGGTGACTCTTGCCTGTATCCTAGCACTTAGGAAGGAAGGTGAAGGTAAGGCTCAGGAGTTCAGAGTTATCCTTGGCTACAAAAAGTTTGAGGGTAGCCAAGGCTATGTGAGACTGTCTCAAAAAACAAAACAAAACAAAAGATGTTTTGATTCTTATCAAATGTACTGTTTTTCTAGATTAGATACCTGTATTTTTCCCTTCATTTTAATCTTCTTAGGTAAATTCACTCTGTCCTCATTTAGACTAAAAAAAACTCAAATCTTTTTCTTTTGGATGTTTTAAAGCTTAGTAAAATGTCAAGATTTCAAATTTTTCTTAGGCCCATTCTTACATAACTGCTATTGTTTAATTTGTTAAAATACATGTTGAATTATTACATATTTACTTAGGGAAGATTCATTCTTAGTGTTATACAAGGTGTGGAGAAATGTGAAATGCTAAATGTTTTCTTAGAAATCCTTGTAAGAGGAGAATATGATTCTACCCCATTTGGAACTACTATGTGGGCTTCAGAGTTTCATTTGGGTAGTTTTCTAGACTATGCTAATGTAGTACAGTGAATTTGATTTGTTGTTATAAGTCCTATTGTTGTAGATAAAGATAGGATGAGTCACTAGTCTTCACGTAAGACATATCTTTGGTTCTTTTGGTTTGGTTTGGTTTTGGTTTGGTTTAGTTTTGCTAATTTTTTGTTTTTTTACTTTTGTTTTTTGTTTATTTGTTTTCTGACAGGATCTCACTGTGTAACTCTGGCTGGCCTAGAACTCCCTATGTAGGTCATACTGGCCTGGAACTCACAAGAGATCTGTCTGCCTCTGCCTCCCAAGTGTTGGGACTAAAGGCATTTGTCACCCTGCTGACCACTGCTTTGTTCTTAAAGTTACCTTCTAATAAGATATTACTGTGTTTTATGTGATATCGCCTCTGAAAAATAGATAATCCTCATTGTAAAGTTTCAGAATATTCCTCTAAGTTAAGTCTACTTGTCTCAGAGCACATTACACTTAGTCATAATGGGTTTTCTGGTTGATCTGGGATGTGTTACTTGAGAGAGAACTTGGCTGCACATAACTGAATCATTTCAGCTGTGCACTGTTTGAGGCTTTGCTAATAGATGTCATTTAGGGATTGATTGAAAGCATTGGAGTTTGCCAAGTATTGTGACTAAATCTCAGTGTTTTTGCTTCTCTGCTTTCTAGCATTTTTCCTGGTCTTCAGAGCAGGATTTTTAAATGGTGCTTTTTCCCAGGCTGGCGTTTTACTTAATATAGTAAGTAGGCCAGAGTTGAAAAGTGTGCGTATGTTAGAATACCTGAGCTTGTCACATTACAAAGAAGAATTATTGCTAAGGACAGTGACCTAAAACCCTTAGAGGTGTCTGTACAGATCATTTCGGTTGTGTTAGACCATCTTTTCTCAGATGATACACAGCATTGCTAGAAAGACACACAATTACCTGAAATCTACATTATCTTTACAGAGGGTATAAAAATGTTTTTTTATAAATAATTTCTAATCTCACATCCTTCCCCTTCTATATCAGAAACACTTCTTAACACAGTTACAAGATCCCCAGTAGCTTTAAACAGCAAAGCTAACTTAGGAAGGCAGAGCATAGTGTATGTGGCAGGGTGCTTTTCTAATGCTTGTTATCTGTGTTTACTCAGTAGGTCCTGTGGAGGAACCTTAAGTGCATAAGGTAATCTATATTGAGCGTCCCATGTGACCAACACCATAATTTAATACCATGAATCTTAGGATATGAATTATTCCATAATGCCAGAAGTTAAAATATCTCATAGAAACATATGCAACTACTTATCTTCA